TTTGTTTATGTGTAATTGTGCCCTATATTTTTCCAGTGACATATGAGACACTCTGTGGCATGAAATTTAGTTCTCAAATAAAAAAATGGGGGGCAGAAGTTGAGCCCATGTTTCTTTCAGCATCTAAGTATCCCAGATTCCATACAATATCTAAAGGGCCACATATTCCCCATCCCTGGATTAAATTGAAGGAAGTTGCTCCCAGAAGTTGGCGATACATGCATGTATCTTTCTGATTATAAAGTTTTCAAGTTATTGGATTACAACATCCAACAGATGTTCAGAATGTCACTTCAACAATCTTCAAGGTATCATTTGGCTCCCCTTATGTGATCCCTACCCCAATTGGCCCCCCATCTCACAACTTGAAATCCAAAACTAATTTCTAATTGAAAAGTGGCAAAGCCCCAGGTAAAGATATGATTTTGCCAGAATTGCTGAAAATAAATCCTGATTGGTGGGCCTCTGTGTTCGCCCCTGGTTAACTGCCATTAATAACTCTTTATCTTTCTCCAAAGAGGGGTTTAATTCTATCACTCTCCCATTATATAAGAAATGGTCAAAACCCAGCTATTGCTCAATTAGCTTATTGTCAATAATTAGCAAACTCTATGTCCAATTTTTATACCATTATCTTTCAGATTGGGTGTATTCAGAGAATACGTTAGCCCCTGAACAAGCAGGTTTTAAGTTAGCTAAGTTAGCATATTCCACCATGGATTAATGTACAATTTTGCACCATTTAGCTGAAAAATACTCTAGCCCTACCAAAGGTGCCTTTTATGTTTTCCCCCCCCCCCCCCCCAATTTAAGGGCTGCTTTTGATTCAGTTCAGGCTGATTATTCCTTACATCAAAATATTAAAAATGTAAATTAGAGGCAAATGTAAAGGTGATTTAACCACCCCCATCCCTATCCTCAGAGAAGTCAAACATGGCTGTATCCTTGCCCCCTTCTGTTCAACTTCTATATAAATGATATTATTGTGGCTCTTTCTAAGCCAGAATTTCACACACACCCCAATATTTGCTCACATTCCTATTTCAATTCTCTTGTATGCAGCGCATGCAGCCATCTTATCTGTGACTCAAGTGGGCCTTCATAGATGCCTAGCTGCTTTAGCACCCTATTGTTCTAGGGAATTTCTTGAAATTAATTGCTCAAACACTAAGGTTCTAGTTTTCTCTAGAGTGCCCCTTAAGTTGCCTATTAAATGGAAAATCAACACAAGAACCAATTGAGCAGGTTAAGGACTTCAAGAACCTATATGCATCTACTTCCAACCCTCCACCTGCTGGAAGAACTAACTGAGTGAGCTTTCATGAATGCTCCAAAAATTTCTAACTCAATCTTAAAATAAGCTAGTCAACACAGCAATACTTATATTCCTGCAGCAATAAAATTGTATAAAGCAAAGATCCTGGCCTTGTTGTTACATGGTGCACAAATTTGTGTTTGTAAGGATGCCCCTACTCTAGAAGCAGTTCAGTCTAAGTTCCTGAAAAATATATTCCATGTCCCTCACTCAATCCCCTTGTTTGGCTAGAGCTTGGCTGCATTTCTCTTGGGGTCCATCTGAGACTTTGCTGTCTCAAGTTTGGGCTGAAACAAATAATTTAAGGCAAGTCTCTGGTTCACTTCACCCCACTGGATAGGTTTTCCTCATTCCTGAAGAGGCAAATTGATTCTGACCTAGGATACTGTGGTCTCTTACTCCAGGCAATATCGTCTCTTGGCCCAGAAAAGGCCTTAACTGAACTTAAACAGAGTATTTATAACTACAAAAATGACAGGGTGAAAATCATCCATCCCTATGATGGCACAATTGCAGACTCTCCATGGATGATTCCTAGCTACCTCTATAACATCCTACATGTTTCACATAAGATAATTTTTACCTTGGCTTGAATTGGCACACTACTGATTATAGAAACTATAGGCAAACATACTAGTCTCCCATACAACAACTGTATGTGTATCTCCTCAGATACAGACATTGAGTCAGTAATCCATGTATTGCTGCATGGCTTGTTGTACTACCCATTGTGTCTGGCATGCATAACCCCAAATATCAGAAATTTTAGCTATCTTTCTGATCAAAAAATGACAATCTTCCTTCTACAAGACCTATCGTGGACAACTATAATAAAGGTTGCCATGTTTCTAGCAATAGTTATGACTTGCAGAAACAGGGTGACATGCTCTTCTCTTTATTAATGGCTTCAGGTTTGGTTTTTTCCTGTATGTTAATGCTTGCATTTGTGTTTTATTGGCCTGGGCTTCAACATTATTCTTCATATCCATTCCTTGCATTATCGGTACTGTGTGCCATATTTTTAGGGCCACAACTCTTGTTTTTCTTGAGCTACCTTGGTACTTCTATCATTTGTCTAGAAAGATATTTGCTTTGAACAACTTTAAATAAAGACTTTCCCAGTGATAAAGTGCATGTTAAGTCCAGATTCCATGGTGTGACCTAACTGTGAACTTTCTATTT